TGCATGGCGGGGAAGTGCCCTATATTTACAGTATTTGATCCAGTTTAACAGCAAGATCAAATGTCAAAATTAGCCTTGAAAAAGTTTTCACCTTAGTTCATACAAAAACAAAATTCTGAGATTATGACTAGCAATTTTTCACGAGTTGATTTATATGAATAAAACCTATAAGGTTTTGTACCATTAAACATTCGATTTAGAAAAAAAAGCAGCATACAGAAGAATAAACTGAGAAATGGAACAGATTTGTTTCTTGTAATAATTATGAGCAATATCTCAAACTCAGCATCCTTAGACCATTGAGCTGTGTAGGATGAATGTGCTAATTAATCAATTACTCCCCAACAATGTACCCTGTTTATTTACTGAAATGCACCAGAAACGTGTGCAGAACTGGTAATTATTAATCATCTCAGTAACAAATATGACTCAAGTTCACCTTCATATAATTAATAGAGCATGTAGTTAGTTTTAACATCTTGCTTTATTAGAACTAGCAATAAGGAATAAAAAGAAAGAGATGAACTACAAGCTGTGTTTCACTGAAATGCTGGCTTGGACTCATGTGCATATTATTCACAGCAGCAATATTATTCATACACATCCAAATTAGAGCCAGATGCTCCCTCCATTAAAATCCAACTTTTAAAAGTTAAATTTTTTAGTCTGAATAAAATTCCAAATGTTGAAAAAACAGTTCAAATTCTTTACTCAGGCTCCCCAAATAAAGCCCAATCTTTGTTGATGGTGTCCAAACTCCTTTGCACATGACTCTCATTTTAAAGACATTTTAAAAGTACTTTTTAATATACATAGAAATAGTTGTTTTAGCTCTGAAAAATAATTCTATTAGTTTGAGAGTCATCTTGTACCCCCCAAAATTTCCTGAGCCAGCCAGCCTTCTAGGCTACATGGATTATGTTTTGGGTCTAGAGTGCTGTTTCCTGTGCTCTTCCTAACTGTGCAACATGTAAGGAATGCGACTGGCTTCACTTGACTCTTAAAATGTGGCCAAAGCATGTGTTACTTAGACCTGATAATGTAGGTTCAAATCCCAGTTCTACCACATGCCTGCTCTGTGGCTGTGGACATCTTCTCTAACCTCTGCATTGTTTGCTCAGCTTGAGGATGAAGAAAATGAGACCTTGCTTTGGAGTGCTGTTTAATGAGAAAATAGGTGCAAGCACCCAGGACACAACAACTAGTTAACTGATATTATTACCCTCTGTGGTCACTTTTAGTGTAAGAAACTGAAACATGTATACCTACGCACACACAAATAAAATGGTATTTCATACAATGGGAGCTGCAAATACAGACCAATATTTTTTAAAGTTTTCTCCTGAAGAGAATAACTGGAGAAAATTTAGGGATATTATACAGTAAACTTAAAAACCTGTCCCATCTGAAAAATGCCAGTAGAATCTCATTTCAAAAACTTAACAGACAAATCATAAATCAGTGGGTCGACTACTGTATTTCTATTATAAAATGATTCAAGGCCCCTTTAAATGGAAAGCCCCCTTAGGGTATCTCAGTATTTGTTTATAGATCATTAACTACTTGACTGTTAGACTGGGAGGGGCAGAGACACTTAAAGCTAAAGGGCTAAGAGCTTCTGTCAGTTGAAGATCAGCAATGAAGCCAAAACATCTTTGGGATTTGGTTTGAGAATATTATTCATGTTACAGAAGTGTCATAGGCTTTTCACAAATATATCTGTTGATAAAATAAGGCTCATTTTATGAAGCCGGAACCGTAACTATGACCCATGTGCAAGCTGAATTTACGTGGCCTTGTTTTCAAATGCTTCCCCAAACACTGACTACATACTATGAATATCTGCAATATTGGGAACATGCCCACAAAATGGACTGCATATCACTCAGCATAAGTAGTTACCTGGCTTAAAAAGTCCTAAATATGCCTCTGTGACTCCAGATTCCAGAGTGCTAGCATTCACAGCAGGAGAAGAATAAAGCTGTTCTCTATAGAAGAGCTCACTGGAAGCCTAGAAGCCAGGATTTTTATCCTTGATTCTGGATATGTTTCTTGCTTTTTCACCATGTAATTTGTCTAACTACCAAAATTAAAATTTTAATTAAATTAGACTAAAACCACTGACTGTACATATTGTAAGTTCTTTTCTCCAACATCACTCCAATATACTAATTATATTCACTTTCATCCATCTTTTCCCCACTTATTCAACAAGTATCTACAATATGTCAAGTGCTGTCCTAGGTGGTGGATCACAAAGCTGCACAAACCACACAAAAATCCCTGCCAGGACTTGGGAAATTTGCATTCCAGCAAAGAGAGATATTGAGAGTCATTTAGACACAAGATGCTTTTGGATGAGGTCTCTGTTTTCATTGTTTTGCCAGAGTAATTCTTCTTGCCATTCTTTGTAACAGCAGCCCCAGCTGCCAGCAGATTCCCTGGGAACTTTCAGAATACCATTGGTTCTACAGAAGGGCTCTAGAAGATCCAGATAAAAATACGGCAGCTCCTTCCTTTTCTAATCACTTCTGCCATAACTTGGTACTTCCATGAGGATAATTTTGAATAAGTCCTGTTTATGTCCCTGACAGTGCAAAACAAGTATACAGGGATGGAAGAGCAAAAAGTGTTTGCCACTGATGAGAGTGAGGAGCTCTTAGGAGTATCTCAAACCACTTGCAGTGCTGAGCTTGGCTCAGAGGCAGTGAGCCATTAAGGGTTTTGAGTGTGGAGGAAACCTGGATCTGTGGATCCTTGAGGTACCTGTGATTGAATTCCAAAGCATCAAGAGTATGAATTGGACAGAATCATCTCTATGGTTCTTCCTTCTGAAAATCAAGTCTTTCAGCTCCAAACTGGACATTTTAAGTGAAATCCTAAATGTAAACATTTCTATTTCTTTTCATACTTCCTACATCTTTCACCAACATGTTGAACAATCACCTAGTATCACTATTCTATTCTTCTGAGAATATAAATGAATTAAAAATCTACATCCCAACCCTACTGTGTTTTAAATCGCACTATTAGAAATACAGTAGTGTCTGTTTATCCACAGGGAATACATTCCAGGACCACCAGTGGATGCCTGAAACCTTAGTACCTAGCCCTATATATCCCATTTTTCCTATGCATATATACTTCCAATAAAGTTTAATTTATTCATTAGGCATGGTAACAGTAACAATAATAACTAAAAATAAAATTGAACAATTATAACACTATTCTGCAATAAAAGAAATATGAATGTGGTTTCACTCTCTCAAAATATTCTATTGTTCTATATGCACCCTTCTTGTTGACTATGGGTAACCAATGCTTTAGACAGTGAAACCTGAGACAATGGGGGACTATGTATAAGAGCAAATCCACAGTAAGCTTGTAAAAACATGATGAGAGCCAGGTGTGGTGATACATGCCTGTAATCCCAGCTGTTTGGCTAGAGAATTGCAAGTTCAAGTTCAGGATAACATAAAGATATTCTTTCTTTGTTCTTATTTGTCTCTATTTCTTTGGGGGGACCAGGACTTTTCTAGACAGAATACAATCAAAACAGAAGATGCAGAAGTCAGCTGGATGCTGAGGCTGCTATAACCACAACTGTTGTCCCCAAGCCCCAAATTCACCATTTCACAAGCAAAAAGGCGTGGAGTTGGGATTGCAGCGGCAGGCGGCTAGCCCTACTCCTTACCAGACTAGCTCCTTTTGGTCTTACTTACGCATTTACTGTCCAGATCCTTTGGTTCCTCCTCATTTTCTGAGCCTGATTTTGCAGACTTCATATTTACTATTTTAACTACCCAATTTCCTTCCAATAAACCCCCTTTTTGCTCAAAACAAAACCCTAGACAACAAAGCAGCCTAGTGTTTTTTACTTACCTATAAAGTCAATATTAAAATTTGAACTTACAAATGTTTAGTAATAAAATACAAATTCTAACCTACTTTATATTTTGGGGTTCAGCGACAGATTTTGTTTGAAAAAGGACTCCAGTACGTTTAAAATTTTAATTTGAAAATTTAATTTGAAAATCCCTGCCTCCTTTCAGCCACCCTTTCAGTCATTCCTGTCCACAGCTAAACACATTATGCCAACACCTAAAATCTTCTAAAAACTTATCTAATGGGGAATCCTGTAAGGTAAAGTTCAAATTATTTGCATGACTATCAGGCCTCTCAAGATTTGGCACGTTAGTGGGTACCCAATCAATATTTGCTGAATGAAGGGATAAAACTAGAGCTGTGAAAACCAGCCACTCTCTCCTACGTGTCCCTTGAATTTTCAGCAATAATAGTAATTGCTAATGCTGCTTACACATAGTTGCCTCATTTACATCTTATTTATGTGTGGCTTCTTCACAGAAGGTGAGTTTAGGACAAACCACCAGGAATGCTTTCTCAGAAGGCAGATGTTACAGAAATTACTACCTCAAGAGGCTGAGAAGTTTGAGAAAAGCTTTTTCTAAAGTGATGGGTTGATAATGGTGACTAAGACTTTAAGGGTGGTGACGGGGGGATCCTGCACGGCTGTTTGCCAGGGAGCAGGTGTGCATCAGGACAATGCACGAAGAAGAGACGGAGGTATTTCTTAAACTTTTTAATCTTGAAATACCTAGGACTTACTTTTAGACCGTGAACACGGCTGCGAGGACTCACTTACCTGAGGACACTCAAGTTCAACCACACCAAGTAGGGACTTCAGTGGAGCCCAGGTGTGCGGAGAGGCGTGGATTTGACCCCTGCCCCTTGAGTTTCCCTCCTACCCAAGTGATAAAAACCCCCCAAATCCCTCCCCTGCCCCGGAGTAACCAATGCTCTCCGAGGGCACAGGTGACAACGTGCCTGCTCTGTGCAGGACAGCTCCCCTCTCGCCTCGCTGGCACCCTCCCCGCGGGAGGCCGCTCGCCACTCTGCGCACGCGCCGCCGCCTCCGCCCGCCGGCGGTCCAGCCACTTGCCCCAGGAGGCGCGCACACGCCCGCGCTCCCGACGCCCCGCCCCGCCAGGCGCGTCTCCGCGGGCGCGGGAACGGGCCTGCTCGTAGGCGCGGCGGGCCATGGAGGCCCTGCGGAAGGCCCACGAAGCCGTGTTGCGGCTGCTGCTGTGCGGGCCCTGGGCCGCGGGCGCCGCCTCCCGCCCGAAGCCCCGGGCATCGGAGGTGCTGACGCGGCACCTGCTGCAGCGGCGCCTCCCGCACTGGACCTCGTTCTGCGTGCCCTACAGCGCCGTCCGCAACGACCAGTTCGGCCTCTCGCACTTCAACTGGCCGGTGCAGGGCGCGAACTACCACGTCTTGCGCACTGGCTGCTTTCCCTACATCAAGTACCACTGCTCCAAGGCCCCCTGGCAGGACCTGGCCCCGCAGAACCGCTTCTTCACGGCGCTCAAGGTGGTCAACCTCGGTGAGTGGCGCCCGCCGAGCCCGACCCAGCGAAGCACGTCCCGCCCGGGGCGGCCCCGCTGTCCACCGAGCACGCCGACCTGCGGGCGCCTCCAGGACCTCGGTGCGCCGGTCCCCGGCGTCCCCGCAGCTGCTCTTCCCGCCGAGTGGGGGCTCGTGCAGGCCGGTGTCGCAGGTCGCCCCAGCGCCCCGGGCGGCAGGTGTCCCTCGTCCCCTAGCCCGGGGCCGTGAATCCATTCCCACCGACATCACCTTACAGGACGAAAACCGAACCGCTTTTTAACTTTTTCACTGTCTTCTCTGTATAAAATCCCAGCAAGTTTGTTTTTATAAAAATACTAAAGGTTTTCACCAGACAGTAGCTTTCTCAGGTGCTAGGCCTAAAAGATATTTAAGATACACTATTTGTGTGTTTTCTGGAGATAATCTCAGCAATTTACTATTGCTGGATGTTTGTTTTCTTTTGGTTCAGTGGCAGAAGAGGTAATATGGCCATGACCTTATATAGGTCAGGGAAAAGTAGAAGACCTCAAGATGCCTTGGATCTATTGATAGCTGATAGAACATTAATCTAGATTTTGGTATTTCAAAATCTAGACACAGAAGCTGAACCATGTTACCCAACTAATTTTTAAAGACAGAATTAAAGCTAAACCCTGTGCAGCTGCACTAGTATTATATAACCTGATAGCTCATTAAATTTAAATATGGCATGCGTATTTCTGCTTATAATAACTAACATGTCACTCATGGGATTTTTGAGCCATTGCTCCACTGAGACTGCCCTGGGCTCAATCCAGTGGGGAGAAGACTACTTAGCAACGTATAATCTTTTGAAAATATGTCTCATCATTTGGCCGGTGGACTACAGAGTGTGCCACTAATTTTAGGATTGGTATCAAGTTGAATGGTGAGATGATTTAGAAAATTCAGTTCAAAAGTATTTGGAAAGACAGGAGTAACAACTGCACTCAAGAAGAGCTAGTGTATTTCAGCATATTCAAAATCAGAAGAATTCATTCTTTCCTAAATGTAGGGTAACAGGTTAGAAAGAGTAATGGGAAAAAATAATGGCAAGGCTATAGGTAAGGTATATGAGGTGAATGCCTTTAAGTCACAATTTAAAGCTTAACATTTTGTTGAAGATCATCTTAATGATTCAGGATTTCTCTTTTAGATGTAGATATTAAGACATCAAAAAAAAAAATGTAGGATACCCAGAATATTCCCCGCATAGAAAAGTAAAACCTTTTGAGTTTTGTAGGGTGTTTTTGTTGTTTTTTTTTTTTTTTTTTTTTTTTTTTTTTTGGGGAGAGGTTTTTTTTTTTTTTGTCTTTTCTTTTTTGGTGCTGGGATCGAACCCAGGGCCTCACGCATGCTAGGCAAGCGCTGTACCACCGAGCTACATCCCAGCCCTTGTTGTTGTTTTTTTTTAATGTGGAAGAATGAATGGTCTATGTGATCTTATGGAAATTCTAAAAATCCTGCTTAAATGGGAAACATTTAAGTGAAGCAGAAGGGAAAACTTTGCTCATGCGTGAAATACACATTGGTTTACATTGATAAAGGGAATTTTTCTGTACATTTAAGGTTAGTGTATTCACCAATTTGGTTACAGTTATTATTATTTTTTTTGTCTGAAGGAAGAGAATGTGAATTAGATAATAGGACCCTTTCTTGATCTGTGATGTATAATTTGCCCCTCTGGATCATCATGTACATAGTCTATTAATAAGAATACTAAGGATTTTATTCCTCCTCTTCCCTTCCAAATTAGTAATTATCAGAGTAATTCATTTTTCCATTTTGTAAATAATAAAGATTTCTGTTTACCCATTTGTTCCCTTTCTCCTCTGCCTTCCCTTCAGTGAAGCTGACATTTTACTGATGGTTTATCAGTCTTGAGTATCCTGCTGGGAAGTAGATTGAGATTTAAGAAAAGCAACTTACCATTGGAATGAATGGGTAATCGGAGACTTACTATGAAGTTCTAATTTTTTTTAAGTGCTTAATTTGACAGTGGTTTACCTACTGTTCAGTTGACTCAAAATCAATTATTATGCAAAGAACTGATTTTCAAGTTCATTTTGATGTTATATTTTTCAGATAGTCTGGAAAAAATTAATTTTTATGAGATCTTAAAGCGTTTGAAGCACATGTGCTACATACAAAGAAGATTTTTTTATGTCTAAATTATAGAGATGGCAAATCTTCCCATTCAGCGTATTAGTCTGACTGCATTACCTAAACAGATGAAGAAGAAAAAAAAAGAAATATTTAATTTCTCTTCCCTTATTACAGCCCCAACCCCTGTCAAATAGCACTACTGATGCTGGGTCCTAGTTGTTTCTCAAGAGATAATATGATTAATATTAAACTAGTAATCTTTCATCAGTTCTCTACTTAGCCAAAAACCATAGGCCATTCATTTATTTGTGTGAATTTTCAAAAATGTGAATTTTTAGAAATATCAATATTTTATCTGAAACCTGATAAATACTATAAAACAAAATTCCCAGTGTCACCACCATTCCTTAAATTTATATCCTTAGCATTGGTTTAAAAGGAATATATTACATATTTTACTCTCTGTATTTTTAGAAAATTAGTAATTGCTTCTAGAGCCTTTTTTTCTTCCTTATCCCATTGACTTTGAGCTTTTGAAGTTGTGATACCATATTTTGAATACATTTGTATTTCATCTGCTCCCTAAACTCCTTCCTCACTCCCTTCTGCCTGTCTTGTTTTTCCTGTTCACTCTCCGCCCCCCTCCCTTATGCCACTTGCTTTTTCTTTTCTTTTTCTTTTTGGATGAATGATTTATAAATAGCTTTATTATTTTAGTTTTTGAGGCTATTTTGTGACATTCCCTTGAGGCATTTGAGATTCTTTTAGGCATTATCAGGGCAAAGAATACAATATACTGTAAAAGGTTTCATGGGAGTTCTAAGAAACCCTGTGATTTGTGGCCTAGTATATTCCTAAAAATAGAAAAGTACCCATCTGAATGGCATTTTCCCCTCTTCTTCTTATTGCCAGCTAGTGATGCTTCTCCTGATTATTTTCTGGCATCAGAGTGTCTGGGATGCAGCTTCAGGGGGAATAAGTGCAAAGTGGTCCAACACACGCTCTTAAAAAGAGCATAACACAGTGAATATATTCTTGCAGAAAAATAAGAGAAAAATTTAGCAATATGATCAGCCCTGAACATGTGTTGATTTCCCTATTAACTAGAAAGAAAATGATTTTCCAAATGTGCAGCTGTCTTTTTTGAATTGTCTCTTTCTGCCCATTTCCCACACGGGAGCAGTAAAATTAATACTTGCACAGAGCATACAATATTTGTTATTGATTCACATGCCTATAGTATTATACATATGTTTCAATATGTTAATGGTCATTGATTTTAAATAAATGCCTGAAAAAAATAGGAATTTAAAAGTTTGTTTTGCATCCAGCATGGTATCGTGCATATGAGAGCTAAGTCCATGTCTGTGTAGAGTGTGTTTAGTTTCATATATGACAAATGACATCTACTCTCAAATAAAGCAGCAAAATCTTACCAATGGCAATATTCCAAAAAAAACCATGTAATCTACTACATACCTACTCCAAATAACTTGAAAAAAGGTTGTTTTAATCTTGTAAAAATGCTAATGAGAGCATTTCTTTCTCATGCCTGTTACACTAAAATGTTCCTTAGGGGTAGTTTTTGCCTTAGGTTTTGAAGACAGTGATTTGACCCAGTTTTCTCTAAAGTTGTACAAAAATTACTTTAGCCATCAGTGCTGCGTCTAACTTAAAGGACAGTAAAGTTGACCTAGTAATTTTAGCTCAAGGCAAATAATCAGGAGCATTTATAACAAAATAAATGAATATTCTTCTCTATTTGCTTATTTGTGAAAAGAATATAGAATTACTTCATCTTTACTTGAAGATAATGAATCGGGGATGTGCTTTGAATTAAAATGTATATAAGCCTTTATTTGTAATTTAAAAAATCTCTAGACTCATATAGTTGCCAACATGTTCCACAAACATAGATGAACTTGAGCTCTTAGATAATCATAGTGTCATTTGTTTATTTTTCTATAATCTTTATAATTTGCTAAAATTGCTGAAGAGTGTTACGTGATTAGTAACATGGCAAATACATAGGTACTTGAGAAATAAGTATTGACCGACATTCATAAATAACATTTTTTTTGTTTTCTAGGTATTCCAACTTTATTATATGGACTTGGCTCCTGGTTATTTGCCAGAGTCACAGAGACAGTGCATACCAGTTATGGACCAATAACAATTTATTTTCTAAATAAAGAAGATGAAGCTTCCATGTATTGAAAACATGTGTTGGAAATACAAATATCAGTGTTTTTTCTCTTGTGTATATTTGCAGTATTTATTTTTGATCCTTTAAAATAAAACTTTTGCAAATACCTTTTTCTGTCTATGGTGCTTGGTTTTCTAAGATAAATCATTGCCCTCAAGAGGCGAAGAAGCTTTTCATACATTGTTATATATTGCATACTCTGTCTAGCTAATGGGAGCTACAAACACACAAAGCTTCACACCAATGTACCCCTAGAACTAGGTTAAACAACAGACAAAAATAATTATAATGTACACAGATTCTGTAGTTCAATATTAATTTAAATTGGCTCTGAAGAGAAAATATAGATACCCCATAAAAAGGGAAAATCTCTTATGTAATGTTGAACAAAAATAGAATATATTAGGGTATGTAGTGGAGATAATATTATATCATTAGCAAATCTAAAATTGATGAAAATTTAATTGCAATCTGAAATCTAAAGCCTTTAGCTGCCAGAATTTTACATGGAAATGTTTTAAGGCTCCTGTGCTATTTTATCTGTAGAAGGAGTTTGGGTGATACAATGCTGAAACTTTTTATTGCTTAAAGAATCCAATACCATAGTATTTTTAATGTAATAATAACCCTGTGTAATGTAACTGCAGCAAAGTGAATGAAATTAAGACTTATTAAAAGTTAAAATAGCATCCAATAAAGCTATAAGAAAATTTAAGATCTAGAAATACCCAGAAAAAATTTTGGTAACTTTATAAAAGCAATTAACTGAAATGGTACATATACACAGACTGATTAGCAATGGATAGTGGGCTGAAATTTTAAAGACCTGCTGGCACTTCCACATTAGGATTTTATTAAGTTAATCGCAATTTTGAAAACAAAGTCATTAAAAAAATTTATCCTTAGGGATAGTCACAAAACACCCAGGCGAATGGTAAGTTTCAGAAATTTAGAGTAATTTAGGGAGAACTAAGTAGAATTATTCAATTTCTAAACCAATGGATGTTTAAGATTTATGATCTCTCCCATAATTACAAACATACATTATGTATCATTTTATGTTAATGTGTTGCTGATTCTCTATAACGTTCACACATTTTTGTAGGGAAACATAAGCACCAACATGTGGGTGCTTACTTCTGGCAAGGTAGAGAAAGACAGCATAAGTAATTGTGGTAAAAGTTTCAAAACAGTAAAGTAATACAAACTGGCCTCCTCAAAGGTAGTAATTTAAGTGTGCTACAGAGAGTAAACTGTTCTGATATATGTAGTGCTCACTTATCTAAAAGCAATTCTAAATAACACTTTAATCAAAGAAGTACTTATGCCAGTATATTTAGTCCAGAAGAATATATTTGACACTAGTTAAATGAATAGCTTACACAAAGGAGATAGTGTTACATTAAGCTTCATTAATAATAAAACTGACTATTAGCATTTTGCAAGGAAAGCTAGAACTGATTTCCTCTGTAATGGGCAAAGTTAAATAACTGTAGCTCATAAGTTTTAAGTCAAATACTGCTCATTCATTGCTGCTGATCTTGTCAATATATGCTGTAAAGGTTTGGTCCCAACACAAGGCTGATAAAATGTTCTTTAATTACCAGACTATAAATACAGCTTTTCAGTACAGTTGTACCTCTTTTCACACCAGCATGTTTGATTTCTGATAATTTGTACTGCTGACTCTGCTTACCTGTTTTTCAATAGCTCCAGACAGTGTGACTTCTTGTCCATATAGTGATAGGTAAGTCTCCTTGGAGAACATCTTTGACAAACTACCCTATTGATCTCTGTAATTCTCTGCTGCTTGCAGCATTAAACAGAGCCCTGATTTCTTGTCTAATGTGCTCACTGTGTAACAATTAAGCGAATGTAATATTTTCTTGTATTACATGAAAATCAATAGACCTCTTGCTCTTATGGAGTTGATCATGGTGAAGGATGAACTCAAGGATGGCTAAGGGCATAGTTCAAAAATGAAAATACCATTCATTGGACTTACTAAGTCTTGAAGTGAACTTTGTGGTATGAAAATTGCTTTCCATTGAACAGTAAAGGCTTAAATTTTTTTATTAAAAGTTGCATATTAGATCTAAGCATTGTGACCTAAGAGGGATAAAGTATGCATGCAGGAAGCCAGGAAACTGGGTCTATTTTTAGTATCAGTGCTGTCTTTTTGACCTAAGGCCTTTGTGTCTTAGTTTTTCCACCTGAAATTTTAAACAAAAGACCTTTTTGTCTTAAAAATGTACCATGATTATACTTGAAACACATTTTGATTTTATTTCAATAAAAGCTTCATGTTCATAATTCACATTTTTATATCCTTATATTTATAAAGGACTTAATTAGTAAAAACATTTCAAATATAAGATGAGGAGGAGGAAGAGAGAGAGATGCACTGAAGGTAGTTTGTATCTGTGCCCATGCCTCCTAACCTAAGGCAGCAAGGAGGGATCTGAATGGACTCTGCCTGTCTGGAGATTGGGAGTTTTCTTAGTTAATGAAACCCCCAATTCAGCTTTTCTACCTATTTCTTTTTTTTTTTTTAATTTTATTCATTTATTCACATGTGCATACATTGTTTGGGTCATTTCTCCGCCCCCCCCCACTCTTTCCTTCCCACCCCCCCCTTGCTTCCAGGCAGGACCTGTTCTGCCCTTATCTCTAATTGTGTTAAAGAGAGGACATAAGTATAAGAAAGACAAAGCGTTTTTGCTAGTTGAGTTAAGGGTAGCTATACAGAGAGATTCCTAGCGTTGCTTCCATGTACAAATGTGTTACAACCCAAGTTGATTCATCTCTAACTGATCTTTACACTGGTTCCTGATCCCCTTCTCGTGTTGACCTCTGTTGCTTTAAGGTTTCTGTATTAGTTCCTCTGGAGTGGGGACATCAAACGCTTTCATGTTTTGGTCTACCTATTTCTTTAGTGGGATCTTCTCCTTAAAATGATGTAGCTCAGTGGTAGAGTGCTTGCCTGGCTATGTACAAGGCCCTGAGTTCGATCCCCAGCACCACATACTCAAAAAAATCTGAGCAAAGCTTTTTAAAATGAAGATGTGCTTTTTACAAAATCTTGCAACTCTCATCATTATCCAAATCACTTACCAAGTATTAGAAGAAATTTCTAGACAAAGTTCTTAGCTCTGTGGCAGTTGTGAACCACTCTAAATATGCCTAACCCAAGTGGCATGATGAAAGGCATGATAGAAAAAATCCCAAGTTTCTCAGTGTTGATGTCCTCATATACCAAATTGTACAAATAGTTATAATTTCTTTCATGACATTAATATTTAATCATTAATTTAATGTTTTGCTAATTGTTGACTTCAGTAAATATTGAAACATTTTAAATGATTAAAAATCATATGTATTTTAAGCACATTTTATTTCATGTCATTTATATTCACCCTAAAATATAAGCACAGATATTCATGAAATATCTTTTACATCTATTGAAGAATGAATGATGTCTAAGTGAGTGGGAGGGCATAAAAGGCCAGGATCTTGATTTCACTTCACCTAAGAGCTAACGCAGATAACAGAAACCTTATCCTAAAGCTACTAGATCAGGTATCTCCATTTTTTCAGCAGTTAACATTGAGACAGTAATGATGTTTGAGAGCCTCTTAACCTAAACAAGTACTTAGCATTACATCTCACCTGGGTCAACAGTCTAGGGTATCAGAGTTAAACTGTGCTACTGTAAATTAATGGAAAATGTAACTGCACTTTGCTGAAAGATCAATGTCCAATAAAGGCTGCACAATCAAATCTTGTTGCAATGATTGAGGTCTTTAATTGCCTTTCAAAGATAAGGTGGTAATCAACACAGCTTTAACTGATCTTTACTAGTTCAATTACTTGCTAATGACTAGTGTCAAGTCAGAATCTTTAACTACTTATACTTATTAAATCTTATGTTAGTAATGAAAAATTACTTAAGCTGCATAATCGATAGAACACAAATCTTAATTACTATATTTCCCTTTCATACTATTTTATGTGCTTGACAAATGTTTCGCTTGAATTTTCCCAACAATAAGAAGTGTTACTACAAGTGATTAAAGTTTACAGATTTTTCTAAATCTGAATTGGAGTGCAGATGTTGAATTGTTTTCTTTTAATAAAAATGTGGCTGAAATAATTTCCACTAACACATACTGGACCAACTCAGAGCTCTGTTCTGATAATTGAGAGTACTAATACAATTGGAATAAAATCAATCCAAGTTGTTTTTAGTACATTTATTTCCAGATATTTCATTAGCTTCTCAGTAAAGAAGTCATGATTTCACAAAGAACATAGCAAATGTTCATGTTTTGGGAAAGAATAAAAATCATCAAATGACAAAAGAAAATATTGAATATCAAAATTTAAAACATTGCTGTTCTTGAAAGGTTGTGATCAATGAAAAGAAAAGCCAACCCACAGAATGGGAGAAAATATTTGCAAATCATTTAACAAGGGACATAGACATCACCTATAAAGATCTTTAAAAATTCAAGAATGAAATTGAAAAATAGATTTTAAAAGACATTTATTTCTTCAAGAAGATATACAAGTAGATAATAAAACATCTGAAAAGATGTTTAACATTAATCATTAGGGAAATACAAATCAAGCACACAATAAGACACTACTTCATATCCACTAGGATGACTAAAATGAAAAAAAAAACAAGTAGGAGTAAAGATGTGGAGAAATTGGAACCATTGTGCATTGCTGGTAGGAATGTAAAATGTGTCTAGCTCCTTTGAGAAAATTTAGCAGTTCCTTAAAATATTAAGCAAGGAATTACTATCTGACACTGCAATTCTGCTCCTATGTATGCAGACCACATATTGTATAATTCCATTTATACAAAATGTCCAGAACTGGTAAATCTATAAAGACAAAAAGTAGAAGAGTAGCTGCCTAGAGCCAGGGAGGCTGGGAGGAAATGGAGAATGATGCTAATGGGAGTAGGATTTCTTTCAGGGGTGACGAATCTGTTCTAAAATTGATTGTGGTGATGGTTGTAAAATCCTGTGACTATGATCAAACCATCAAATTGTACACTTGAAAAGAAAGAACTGTGTGACATTTGAATGGTATC